TATCTTGTAGCAATGACCCCCAATTTACACACAAAATTCACTTACCTTTTTTATATACAACTTAAAACATAGCCTACGGGAGATTTTAGCATATTTTGAATAGTTTTGCACACGAAGGAACGTTTCATGGTATAGAACTTTTCACTTGTGGCATCATGACAAGTCTCAGTTTTGGTCCTTGGAGCCTTTCAGGTTTTGTGTTTTTGGATCACCTAGTAATGCAGTTCCTGCTTTTAACAGGCAAGGAAACTGAAGCCTGTGTGCTTGTTAATGATGTTAAACATGCTCCGATTAATTTCCCCCCTTGTCTTTAATTCCACTAAATGATGGCATTTTCCTCGAGGGAGGGGATGGGCTTCTTGCAAGGATGTGAGAACCCAGGAAGGGAAATAATAGGTTATGGAAGAAAAACAAGACTGACAGGCTGTACACAGAGAGCAGGCAGAAGAAAGTTGCCAGTAACCGAGCACCGCTTTTTCTAGCCTCGAGTCAGTACTGTTGATTCTTTGGGACACATGGCTCAGTACGGCTGAGTCTGATTGAGGATCTGGAAGGGCCCATGTATATCGAAGGGTTTAGAAGCTCAGGTCCACCAATGAACTGCCTCTGGCCCACCAAGCCATTTCCAACATACGCTAGTCAGACACAGTAGTTGGAAGTTTTAGATAACTAAAGCCAGAAGAGATTGCAGTGGAAACATTGTGTGAGCATCTCGTTTCACCTGGAACTTTGAAGGGACCTGACTTCATCAAAAGTTGCCAGTCATGTTTCTTCAGGATAGGTGTGGCAGGGTGTTTCCCAGATTGGACCAATAGGCCGAGCTTCATCCCTGGCATTTTACAATAGTTGTGCACACTTCTGAGCTTGACTACTCAAAGCTACACAGAAGGATTCACCAGGCGCTTTGTTCCCCATCCCAATCCCCAGTCTGCTTGTTCAGGTTGAGTCTTAACGGTGTGTGCCATGCTGGAAACACTGGCTCTCAAAGTTGAACAGCAGAACCTTTAGGCAGAGTTAGTACTTTATTTTGTTTGATTTTAAATATATGTTATTTTTTGAATAGATTTAATACAGTTGCTTTCATGAACACCACAATGTGAAGTCAAGCTTTATGTTACATGTAGTCTCATTGGACTTAATGTCCTATTTTTTCCTTTTGCATAGTTGTAAAACCCTTTTTCCTACAGATAAGTTTTTATGACAGTATTAAAATATCTTTCTTATAATTTTGATGTATTCCTCAATCAAACAGCAAATGCTTTATTCCGAGACTTGCCCAAAGCAAGTTCACTTGTCAAAGTAGGAATGTTAAGCTTGCCTCTTCCCCATCTCAACTTTAAAAAAGGTACATTGACACGTACTTAGCAGAAAAATTAAGTTTTTAAAAAGTGAAGCTTGAGTTACCCATTTTTGTAGACTCTTCGAAGCATTTGGTTCATAGTTTGAAAACTGTTCTAGTGGCATTAATGAACTCGGAGACCCAGGTGATAAAAGCGTGGCATTTTAAAGGACTGTGGGGTGGCATAGCCGATTTCTCAATTTTCCAAGCTTCGTTAAAGTGAAATGTGGACCATTCAGTCCTTGGACTTGGGAGGTACAGAACAAATGCTGAGTATTATTAGTTAATATTAATTTACACTTAATATCTTTCAGTATCACATAATGAAAAGGCTTCTGTGTCATTAATTAGTCTTGGAAAAGCTTGGGTTTGGGGGAGGGATCTTTACCGGCTGAGCAGCCCAACTTTGCTAGGTGGCTCTTGATTTCCTGAGGGACCACGGAGGGTCAGTTGGCCACGGGAGGCAGGGGAAGACGCTCGGCTCCCAGCTGGGTCCCTTGCTGTAACTTGTCCACTTAGATCACACTTGGATGTTGATGCAGCCACATGAATAGTTCTGCTGAGATGTGATTTACATACCATACCATTTGTCCATTTGGTACATTTAGGGTTGGGTAACCATCACCACAATAATTTTTAGAGTCTCTCATTACCCTCAAGAGAAGCCTCACACCCATTAGCAGTCCCTCCTGAGTTCTCCTGTCTCTTTCTGCCTTACATATCACCTTCCACTGCTGCCCTTGGTGCTTTCCCCTCTTCAACTGGGGCTAGAGAAGCACTCACTACACACAAGCCAGGGCCAGACATGGATGCCCTTCAAACCCCAGCGCTCCCAGCCAGGATGGTGACCAGGGGAGGATCCTTTCAGAATGTTCTACTCTCGAGTTTGAAAGCTATATTAAGCCTATCCAAGGGGCACAGGTTAGGAGGAGTGTGAAGTCACTAGTATGTAGTGCAGAATATCTCGGAAGCCGAAAACCTTAGCTAACAGTAAGTCACAGGTACTTGGTTCAGGGTCAGGGTAGCAGTACCATGGCTTTGCACCCACCTGTTCAAAGAGGCCAAGTGATGTGGATGTTACCAGCCATTGAGTGGAGCCCAGCAAATTAGCTGCTGTGAACCTCTTACATCTGGCCATTAATGTGAACCCATCAAGAGGTTTTGTGACTTTATCAGTAATGTAAACATATTTTCTGCATTTCTTCAGTGGCCTTTAAACTTTAAACTTGCTTTATGATGAATGCCGGGTGTACTTAGACTACACAGCGCCAGTAGAGAGCTTTAAAAGACCACTTAACATTCTTCATACATTTTGTGTACATCACTCACTTTACTTTGTCTCTGGGGTGTACAATCTCACTTCCACATGGTATCACATTCCCGCTATGAGCACAGTAATCTTTGTGAAGTTCCTGTATAAGGACACTGAAATCCATGGCTTCAAGGTTAATTTTCCTTCGGTTGTCCAATGTATCACTTTATTCTAATGCTGTAAATAATTAATAACCAAGGAAATTGTAAGCTCATTCAAGATTTTCTAAGGTCAGTGTTAGAAATTCTTAAATGAAGGAAAGCTGTATATTACTTCAAAGAAAACTCGAAGCATAGTTGATTACAAAGTTTGATTAATGGTTCTTTGGGGCTTGAGAAGTGATATACCATCTAATAAAAAGCCACAAGTACATAATTTTTAAAAACCTTACCTTCATTCTGATCATTTTTGACCCAATTTAAATTATTGTTTTGGACCGGTTTGCTTATCTGGTTTATTTCCATTGGGTCCATAATATATATTGCCAGAGAACAACCTTATGTTGTACTTTGTTGTTGTTTTATACCTGTGTTCTAAATTTGTGTCTTGAGACAGCCTGTGTAGTGTGGTGGCTAAGGAAATAGATTCCGACTGCAGACTTCTGAGTTTGTGCTCAGGTTCCTTTATGTTCATGGTGTAAGACCATGGGCTAGTTAACTTCACAATTGTGCCTTGGTTTCCCCTCTGTACCATGGCTAGTAGCAATACCTGCCTTGCAGAGTCTGTAAGCTTGAGATATACTAATCCATGCTAAGTGCTTGAAACTGTCTGGTTGACTCATAGTAAGAGCTCTCATGTAAGATACATTTTGTTCTGAATGAAAAAAAACGTATTCCTTGAATACACATCAGTTGAGTTACGGTTACGACTCTCCAAGATTTCAAGAATTAAAATGTTCCCTTCAGTATTTATTAGAGATAGATAATAGTTTGGTAGTGCTTTTTCTTACTTATAATCTGCATGTCCACATAGTCATCTTTAAAATATGGTACTTTTATTTTAGACCTATATGTGTGCTATTGAAAACATTATTTTAAAATATAGTTTTTTAAAGGCCAGGGATTTAGCTCAGTGGTTTTGCCACCTGCCTCGCAAGTGCAAGGACCCGAGTTTGATTCCTGGTACCAAAAAATATATATATATTTGTATATATATATTTTTTTTTTTTTGAAAGTGGGTCTTCT